CCGACCACAAATGTTTGCTAGTATAACTTTACCATATTTTAAAAGACTGATGAAAAACTTGTGTATTTATCATAATCACTATGCAAATGAGAGAGAGAGAGAGTGTGTGTGTGTGTGTGTGTGTGTGTGTGTGTGTGTGTGTGTGTGTGTGTGTGTGTGTGTTTGTGGGGGTCTGTCTCACTGCTGCACTGGCTGCAGGGCTGCAGGGTGTCCCATGTCCCTGGCTCAGCAGGGTAAGGTGGATATAGCCATTGTCAGCAGTAAGTGTGTCAAACAGGTAGAGCTGCAGCACATCTCCAGTGTTACAACACGTAATGCCCACCAGGGTGCGATCAGAGCACAGCTTCTGGAAACAAGCAGTGGCCTCAGCAGTCCAGCTGCCCTGAGACAGAAAAACCACCACAACACTCTCACTTTTAAAGTCAATGGTTACAGCTCTGAATAATAAAACTGTGTGCAATTGTAGAAATATTGACACAGAAAACATAACTTTTTTGACAATATACAAAGTGAATATTAGTTTATACTTTCAGGAATTCCTTAAGTAAGATTTAAATGATCATGGAGCCACCACTGTCTGTTAAATATACTTTTAAACTATCACACTTACTCTCCTCAGAAGCCTTCAATGAATGGTTTCTCAGAAAAACAGGTTATTTGGGTTGTACAAAGAAAATCTGACTAGTACTGATGAGGGATGAATGCTTAGTCCAAAGCACTAACACGGGATGGAAGAGGGATATAGCTGACATTATGGTTTTAACATGAAAGTGGTGCAGAACTCTGCATGAATCTGAAAATATTAGGTCAGCCATCACACTCACAGTGGTGGGTTTAATTCCAGCAAGTGATGATGGAACAGCTTGTGCAGGAAGAACCAAGTAGCATGACCTGGTAAAAGAGAGATGAAGAGAGCTCAGTTCCAGAGACAGACAGACTAAGCTTAGTAGTACGACTTTCATTGATTAACTGCTTCAATTTCTGAGATGCCCATACTTGAGGAACTTGAGGCTGGCGCTCTGGACAACTGTCATTCCACCAAAGTCGACGTAGTACACCTCGACTTGAGTGGGACTGATGATCTGATGGATCACTACTCTGTAGAACCATATTCCATCAGGTGACACGCAGCAGACCTGACCTCGTCGTACAAATGGCTTAGGAAGGGTGTAACGCTCCGATACCTTAGGGCAGGTGTAACATCGTCTATAGCACAAACAGGAGAGGGAGAGTGAAACAGTCATTGCTCTCAGAGAAGTATCAGGAATCATATGCATTTAAGGCTGAAGCAGTTTTAAAATTATTAAAATGTGGAATTTCTTTTTGATTAGTGAGTTCTTTTTAAATTCCCAGCTTCAACTTTGCACTTAGTCAAAGCTGTACTATTTCTTTCATTAAGAGTGAGTGTGCCAGGAATTATGAAATAGTAAACACAAAGAAAGTACACAAAACATTACTGTTAGGCTAATAAATTCAAAAGTACTTGGTTTTTAAGGTCTTTTAAACAAGCGGCCAAGAACACATCATCACCTCATCTCAATCATCATGTCCTCCATAGCCTGCGCCTCTTTGCTGTTGCTGAAGCGGATGTAGAAATGTCCTGGCGACACCACATGTTCCACCAGGACTTGTAGACGCTCTTGAGCTTGACGGCACATTGGCGGTTTGAGACGCTGATTCTGCAGAGCATCCAGGGGCACAGCAGGGCTGCAATGTACCTGAATGGCAGGGTACATCTCAGACATCTACAGGCAGGCACACAAAGTAAAAGGGGAAAAAGAACAAGTAGTGAGCAGGACACAGCGGTGTGAACATAAAATGTAGTGATGACACATAGTCATAGTCACATACATTGTCTACACATTACGCAGGGTACACTGATAATGGGTCATTCAATTCCTTGGTTTGTGCAGTGTAAATTCATGATTCACATTTATGTACTCCTGTGACATTTTCATTTGGGTCTCCTTGCTTTAAGATTGAGTCTGGTAATGTAAAATAATAGAATAAAAAAAGATGTTGTCAAACCATTTCTCGGGTCTTGGAAATGTTACTAGTCTCTAGCTTCTCATTCTTGTCATCTTCTGTGATCTGATCACTGTCTGCTTCCAGTTTGCCTTCCCAAGGAGACTCTCCACAGTTCAAATAGTAGCTTTTAAATGGTGGCGTCACACCTCTACCCACACTGTCAGTTTCTTTTGAGTCTACAAAACACAGAAAAATACATTCTATGATAAGTTCAAAGCCACAGACACAATAATACAATATATTCCAACAGGTCATTAGAAAAGTGTGACATACAGAGACAGACTGATGAGACACGTGTAGTGAATAAAGAATAACACAAAGGGATGGAAATAATATAAACATAACATCTATATTTACAGCAAAATCAACTTCAAACAATCCTCTCACACCACATTTCCACCATCCTGCCAGTCTGACCAAAATAAATATTTTATTCATTACACAAGTCTGTCACTTGACTGATATTTAACCATACTAAGAAAAATATCTCCCCACTCTCTCTATGACAGCTGCAATGGCCATTTATAATTCAGAGATGTTTATACGGCACATTTCCCAAAACAAACTACAGACAGGCCTTGACTGCTGGTACTTTAACACATGCACATACACACCTGATTGTGTGCTTTCACTGTCATGGATGTCCATGACTATCCAGTGGTGTCCGTCGTCACCCCCTGCAGGTTTGAGGTGCAAGGTGTCACTCATGGCACCGACCAGTTCAGTGACACTGACAAAGCCATTCTGTTGCAGCGGCAGCTCCTCACCAAACAGCCTCTGTAAAAAAACAACACAGATGAGCTGCCCAAAATGTCCCCATGCATAATTTGTCTTACACCCTTATGTGACACTATGAAGGTAAACAGGAGCATACTGTACCTTATACTCTGCAGGCAGATTGTGCACCGATAATCCTCCACAGGTCTGACCTACCACCTGCAGCGTGTGAGGATGTAAAGAGTTTCATTACGAAAGATTATGAATCAACACAAACTGGTGGATGTTACCTTTCGCAACATGTCCTTCAGCTCCTGACTAATGGTGCCAGTTACTCCATTCTCCAGGATTCTCTGACAAAGCTCCTCTTCCAGCTGATGAAGGATTGGAGGAGAAATTTGAACTTAAATTAAACAAATGTACAATACATTAAGTCTTGTTTGTGCTTCCAGTTTCACTAACAAGTCCAACGACTGTAAATAAAGACAGACAAGATGACGTCTCAACAAAAGTGAAGTGAAATCATCGTTATCCCCACTGGTGGCTGACTGCAGTAGTTCATAAACCCAACTTCCTTCATGTTAGTGGATGGGACATGGATCAAACTAACAATATGCTGTTTCTTTGTTTTAAATAAGAGCAAACCTTGAGAACACGTTTCTGAAAGAGTTGACCTTCCCTCTGGTTCATCTCAACCTTGTTTGGCTTGTTACTGACAGTTATTGACTGTTGACAGACAAGGCCCAAAGTAGTCTCAGCAGACGACTGGTCCAGAGGACTCTGCTTCACTGGGACTGGAGCTGAAAAGCAAAAAAACGTGTTTCAAAATATTAGGAGCCACTGCTCAGATTAAATACCTATCCACTTTAAAATAGTCATTTGTAATGTAATCAAGACACTGGATAAGGATTGCTCAATAGAACCACATTTCATGAAGATCTTAAAAAAGTGTAAATGCATCAGTGTCTCCAGAAACTCATGTATTTGCCAATTGTAAGCCCACCCCTCTAATAGCACACCTGGGAGTATCGATGCTGTCTGAGCAATGGTGCCTGGCCCTTTAGGTGCTGGCTTGTCAGTTCTAACTGATTCTGGCTTCACAGGTCCAGTCCTCCTTGGTGTACTGCATGGTCTGACCGGTGGCCTGGGTAGCATGTGTTGCCTAAGGGTCAGAACTGAGCCCAGCCTGCCTTGCTGGATGAGGACGAGGTCTGCTGCTGCCTCCAGCATCTCTCCAGTGGAATAGAAGCCATAGTTGTGGACACGCAGAGGTTGGCCAAAGCAGCGCAGGAAGCCGACCTCCAGCTCAGATAACCTAAGAGGACCCTGGAAGAGGGGCTGCTTCTTTACTCAAAGTAGACAACATTTTGCAAGAAGAGAAGCCTGAATTATTTGGGTGTGTTCGATTAAATGTAAATAAAAAAACAGAACCATCTTCAAAATCGCTCTCATTTTGTACATATTTGTCCTGTTTCAACAAATGAATGATGAGGCTGAGACAGTCACACTGGCTCATGATGCCTTTAATCAAACATCTGAACTGTTTCAAACAGTCCAGCTTATTGTGGAGAACACACACAAAAGGTTTTGATGATAAGGAATGAATGATAAGGTCATACCAGGGAGAGGAGGAGGCGGAGCTGTGCCCTGAGCTGGGCAGGGAGAGCTGGAGGAGCACGACCTCTTCGAGGAAGCGTCACAGTTGGGGAACGGTGATGGTAGCGGGTCGATAAGGAGCGGACACCACCCCTAAATTTCTTTTCCGCCTTAGTTGTGCGCTGCATGGCTACCAGCTCCTCAATTTTCGAGGTGGACTCATCGCTAACAGCTGCATCGATACAAACCATAGCAAGTGTGAATTCACTGCAATGCACTGCAACATTATTCAAATTCATAAACACACACAAATGAATAAATCAACTCTACCCTTTAGGAATATTCCACTATCGGCGCTGAAGGTGATAGACACCACGTCAGGCATCTCCTTCACCATGTCCATGACATTTCTAAAGCCCAGGAGTTTCAGGGGCATGGGATAGCCCATCATCGTAGCATAGTCCCGCCTGAGCTTATCAGGGTCCAGGCCGAGCTTGGATGAAATGAGCAAGGAGCGAACATCCTTCTTCAACCTTGCAAAAGCCTCTTCCTGGTTCATGTTGCCTGCTGAACAAAAGGAATACACAGCATGAAGCAAAATGAAAGAAAACATGATGTACATTGGGAACAGAGCCTGGAGAAGTGCATGATAAGATAAGCTCTTTTATAGTACCACAATGGGAACATGTGCAGTGTGAGACCAGCAAAGGGAATAGAAGGAAAAAAAAGACAGTATAAGTAAAGGTACTATGTACACAAGGAAATACAAACACATAATATATTTTATATATATATATATATATATATATGTGTGTGTGTGTGTATACACGTTTTAACAATTATTGGAGCTTTAATGGCTTTGCCTCATTCTTGCTGAGTCTAAAATATCAAAATAAAATCCTGGTCAAACACTCAAAAGTTGTATTTTGAAATTGATTACAAATGTCCAGCAGCAGCTCCTTATTTTGGGGGGTTTGGAAATCAACCCTTAAGAAGTAACGCAAGCTGCACGTGGCTAACAACCGGATTAGCAAAAGTTGACCTTAGCTTCCACCACCTAAATCATGGGATGTAACAATTTATACACCACTGCTCGGCTAGAAATGTGTTTCAATACAGAGACGGTGTCATCAAATACTTGCTAAAGTTACGTGGACACTACGTTACCTGGTGTGTTCAGTGTCTCTGAGGCTTCATCCTCCAGAGAGGTCTCAACCTTTCCTCTGCTTCACCTGCGCACCTGTGGCTGGCTAGTAGCGGCTAACAGTAGCTGACAGCGGCTAACCGCAGCTAGCAGCGGCTAATAGTAGCTAGCAGCGGCTAACAGTTGCTAGCAGCGGCTAACAGTAGCTATCAGACAGATAAGAAGATGAGTCACAAACACTGAGTCCTAAATTTCCCATAATGCAAATCAATTTTTTATTATAGCCCATTCGTTCATCCATGACGTCACTGCACCGTCAGGGGTTTAATCAATTGTGTCACAGCTGATCCAGGACCAGAGAAGACATTTTACAACTGCTGTCATCAGATGAGTGTAAACTGGAAAACAAAGTATAATATAGTAATAGATATGAGAGCCTATAGCTGTCATTCCATCCCATAGACACGCCACAGTTGAGTGAAGATGGTCTCATAATGGGTTTGCACACGATTAGACTCATAATTTGGATAACAGAATGAACTTCCAGGTTAATTAGGTTTGCTTTAGGGAGGATAGTGTGTCAGCTATTTGAAAAGGAGACGCCTGAGTCTGCACATTCCCTGTGAAGAGACACTGACACTGGAAACACACATACATGGGGGTATATAGATTATAATCTCTGATTATTTTTACCCTGGTTAGAACATCTGGATAATAATTTATAAATAAAAACAAAATAATACTGCTTTTCTATCATTTTTAAATCACGGTAAAAATGAGAAAGATGGTTTTAATGATTTCAATTTTATTATCTTGATATTTTTAAATTCTCTGTTTTGACAAACATTTAATTTCATGCTTACAAATGTTGACCTAGAAATCTATTAAAACAGAGAAGGTAGCATGTGGCACTCCCACCGCCATCCTACACTCCCACATTCAAGCAATTCGCCAGATTCACCATCAACGTACTGTGTCTCATTACCACAGTAGGCGGCTGCAACCCTCCAGTTCCAGCCCTCCAGCCTGAGGAAGCAACTCACAGCTCCACATTTGTTTCTTCCTCTGCACTTCTCTACTCTTCACCACAGAGCCTTCAGCCAGTATGGACAAGTCGTCAAATGTCCACCTGCCCTCTTCCAGAATGACATCCAAGGCGGACAATGAGAGGGGAGCCGTGGTTCCTCCCAGGAGTCACCGGCAAAGGCCATCGAAGGCAGGCCGGGCCCCCGAGGGAAGGAAAGAGAAGCCGCGGAAGGAGAAGCCAAAGACAAACGACGTGAAGGGAGAACAGGAAGAAGTGAAGCTGAAATCAACTGTGGTGGATATAGACAGAGTGAGAGATGATGAAGTCAAGGAGGAGAACATGGGGCTCCTGGAGGCAGCAGAGCAGGATGATGGTAAGATGAAGCCAGAGGAGAATCCTGACAGATCCTCGTTCTTGTTCTTTATTTCTGATTATGTTATTGTATTTTGTCATGTTTACACTTTTTATGGAAGAAGTAAAACTCTAATTTAAAGTTGTCTATCTTAGAAGTTGTTTAATATCTTTTCTTCACTTTTGTAGTCTATATTCGAGTTGAGTTAAATATACATTTTGTAGTTTTTTCCATCTTTATTCTGTGCAGAGGTTGGAGTTCTTCACACCATTCACTGTGGCTCTCTGCAGGTTTGAAGCGCATGGACCTGGGAGTGTTTGAGTGGCTTCTGATGGCCTTTGCCTTGGCTCTGGTTCTCCTCTTCCTCCCTCTGTCCATCTGGTTCTGTTTTAAAGTACAAACTGCACCACAGACCAAACTGAAATGTTCATGTTTCCATTCATGTGGACGGACTGATGTCTTTCATTTTGATTGACAGGTAGTTAGAGAGCACGAGAGAGCTGTGATCTTCAGACTGGGTCACCTGCTGCGTGAAAGACCAAGAGGCCCAGGTTGGCACAGAATCACGCAATTTCGCAAAAATCCAAGTCATTAAATGTTAAGACAACTTGTATTTATCTTAACAATGATGCTTAAAATAAAGTTAATGTCTGTGATGTACATATTCTCTATCACTCAAAAGACAGAGGGGAAAAAACCACACAATAATTAAAGTTTAAAATCTTTTGATCAAATCTTCCTCCTTCCTCTGCCCAGGTCTTCTTTTCTATCTCCCTCTTCTTGATGTTTGTCACAAGGTTGACATCCGACTGAAAATGCTGAAGGTTCCTCCTCACACGGTACAGGACAATAAAACACACAACTGATGTTAACATTTAGCTACATACAGTATGTGAAAATGGCTGTAAATGAACTTTGCTTTCCCTGAGATGAAACTTTTGTGTCGCAGGCAACTTTAAAAACCATAATATAGTATTTTACCTGACTGTATATGTCTGTATGCAGGTGGTGACAAAGGACTTGGTGAGGCCGGAGCTGAGCGCCGTGTGTTATTACCAGATCGAGAACGTGGCTCTGTGCAGCACAGCTCTGTCCAGTCTGACCACGGTGTTGCAGACTCTGGTCCAGGCAGCGGTCAGAGACGTTCTCGCCCAACACACATTCAGCCACATCCTACTGCACAGGAGGAGGATCGCTCAGCAGATACAAGCAGCTGTTGACTCTGTCGCCTGTCGCTGGGGCATCCGAGTGGAGAGAGCAGACATGTAAGACTGAGGAAAGGAAAGTCACCACGTTGTTGAAGCTCACCTTCTTTGTGTTAAGCTGCATGTATCCCAGATATCATGTTAAAGAAGCTTAAAACATGTTTTGTGAGGCCATCGTGATCTTTGACCACCCGAATCTAATCAATTGTTATGTGATTCTATGAGAACATTTGTGCCAAACCTTTGACCTACAAAATAAAATCAGGTCCCCCTTTGAAGAGATTGAGATGTTCTTGAGATATCATGTTCATAAGAGTGGGACAGATGGACAACCTGAAAATATAATGCCTCCAGCCACACTCTGTTGCTGGCACAGAGGCTGATGGATAATCTAGATGATGAAAATGAAGAAAAGGCCCAATACAAGGAGATAACTCTGCTACTGATCTGTGTGTAAAGCATCTGTTTCCTCTGCATTCAACGATTTTTCCAAGGAAACAGCAAATAGGAATGTTGAGATGTGTAAATCCTCCAAACCACATTGGGTTGTGCTTGTGTTTGATTTTCTGTCAGAGACGAGCTCAGTTTTCCGGTGGAGTTACAACAGAGTCTGGCTGCAGAGGCCGAGGCCAAGAGACAACAACAGGCCAGAGTAAGTGACCGGATCATCTTTTTAATAATTTAATAATTATATGAATTAATGCTGCATTGTAATTGTTATGTTTTTTGTTTTTTTATTGTCAAGTATAGCATTTAACAAACTCAACAACTGTATTATTATGAGCATTATCTGCACATCAGATAACTGTACTTCTGAAATACTGTAATTAAAGATTTGTGATATTGTTAGAATGTCTTTACTTTGTCAGCTTCCAGTGGTATAAACAAGATAGTGGCAAAAAGCAAAAAAAGCCAGTGGGAAGTCTCAGTTCCAATTACTTGTCTTTATATCTACCTATTGTCTTGTATTACTGTCATTTTCTGTTTTTCAAACAATTCTGCTATTTTGCTAAATACAGACTTCTTGATTACAGACTTCTATTGAGGTAATTTGAGGTGTTTGGTTAAATACAGCAGAGCTTCTCTCCTCCAGGTAAAAGAAGCAGAAGTAGAGGCAGCTTCCTGGGAGGGGTTCAGGGCCTCCTTTCGTCACCTCCATCCAGCCCTGGTCCTTCCATTCCCCCCAGATCTCCTCAGTGTGACCTCTGACCACTCATCTCTACCTCCTCCTCCTCCTCCTCCTGCTGAGGAGGAAGAAGGGAGAGTGACAGAGGGGGAGCGGGAAACAGACTCACCAATGATGTGACAGATTGTGAATAAATTAAAATGTATTATTATTATTATTGTTATCAGCAACAACACATAAAATTATTGTTAAGTTACTTTTTATCTGAAAACCTTTTCCTTCAAACAACTGAGCTTTAGCACTGAGGAATCTGAGCCTCTAGTGTGAGTAAATTAAGCTTCTGTTTTAACTCAAAACTTGCATTGTCTTGTAAACAAGATAGGTTGGGTACAGAAAATAATGTTCAGTCCTGGTTCATATGCAATTATTCAGAGTGGTAATTTTTCGTGAAACCTTTAATTTATGGGTCTAGTGCACATTTGTATTGTCCAGCCTGCTCATTAAGTGCACAAAATTCACTGCAAATATAAAGATCCTGAAAAGTCTCTGAAATGTAAATATTACTATGTTAACATTTTTTGGGAGGGGGAAAGAAGAAAAAGTATATTTCTTTTTTTAAATCAAGTCAAGAGTATATTGACGTTCAATGAATGAAGCCACATCAAACCATTACACAAATTATAGTACCACTAAGTGATAGTTATTTTCAAACAGCAGCAATAGAAACTGAAGTAGGAAAACCTCCTGATACTGGGAATATACCAATTTAGATTTTTCACCTATGTGCACTTCACTAATTTGAAAACCTTGGTTGGTGCTGCATTCCTCTCTGCTCTTGTTCCAAACATAAGATTCTACAGGGAGTTGCAGCCTCTTCAAATTAGCTGTCACATCAGCGTTTCTTGGTCCTTCTGGTGGTGCTTGTTGGTTTGGCCTCAGGAGCTGTTTTCTTTAGAGGAGCTGGGAGTTTTTCTGGTGGTGGAGAAGGTGGTGGTGTTTTCTTTTTCTCTGCATCACAAACAGAGAGACACCTGTACTTCCTCTACACTTGAACACTACTTGTTACTGCTTCTCCCCCTCAATGAGAGTCATTAAAAATGTGTTGTTTACCTTCACTGCTTTCAGACTCCAGACCAGGCCGGCCCTGCAGTTGTCTCTCCAGGTCCTGAATCTTCTCCAGAGCTGCCTGCAGGGCCTCCTCAGCTTTCAGGGCCCGCTGTTCAGTGCTCTGGACCCGCAGCTCAGAATCACTGTCAAAAACACGAAGAGAAATCAAGATGTCCTTTGCATATTGTCAACAAAAGAAACTTGGCTGATGCCTGGACTTTCACCAAAGTTATTTCCACAACAACTGATTGTGACTTAACTTGCCAGAAAAAAATAGATTTATTATTGTGTTGACCTTCTGATTTTGCTGATAAACTCTACTTTAATCTGTAAAGTTGTGGTAATTGCTTCCCATTTCTTATTCTTAACAAAAAAGAAATGCATGTGCAACACCCACAGCTAAAAGAGTGTTCATATCAGTACATGGAGAAAAAATGTAAGCAATTAAGGAATCTTCCAGTAGTCATGGAAAAAGAAATACAACAATGACAGATATTAGAAATAACATTAGAACATCAAAAAATATTTATTTGTAGACCAAAATCTGATCTGTGTATATTATCACAGTATTGGTAATATTACAAAAATAAAAGTGTCCGACACAACTATAGTAACAGTGAACTTACTGCAGTTCCTGTTGCAGTATTCCTACTGTGGTCAGATCACTAAAAGCTTTGTGAGCTTCAACTGTTGCTGGACACACAACCAGGTCATCAGTCTGACACACACACACACACACACACACACACACACACACACACACACACACACACACACACACACAGGTGGACGGACGGACAGGGAGACAGACATGTGTTCAGGTCAATACAAAGAAAAACATGCTGATGAATATGTGTGTGGTTAACTTGTCTCACTCCTCTCAGATGGACACTGTTCTCCCCCAGCTTTCTTTGTGTGATGTTTCCATCATAGCCAATCAGCTTCACCACTGCTGTTTCACAAACCGTTAGCTCCCCCTGCAGGACATAAACAACACGACTAATTTCAATAAAGTGGAGTAGTTGGTACAAAAAATGTGAATCCCTGTATTTCATGTGAGAAAGTTTTTGGTTTTGTAAAATGTGCAGACAATAACTTATCAAAGTTCACTTCATAGATGCTTTTGTACCTTACAAACTTCTTGTTGTATTTCATGTTCTTCATTGGTGTTCTGCGATGACAAAAAAGGACCACCACCATCATCATCATCATCATCATCATCATCATCATCATCATCATCATCAGCAGCAGCATTATCATCATCCTTATCCAAAATAAACAGGACTAGTCAGAAGATTAAAATCCTGGCATTATCCTATCCACATGACAGTTATTTATGGGTGACACAATCAAAAACATGTGTTCAAATATTCAATATTTGACTCATTATGGGTGCAGATATCCTACATAATACAAACTTAAATGTCGTCCTAGTTTAGAGCTGTTCATATAACTGACTTCTCTTGGTTCCGCCTCAGTCTCATCTTTGACCTCCTTGACCTCACTGGATGTTGTAGACTCTGCTGAAACCTCTTTGTTTCCCTGTAAACACACAGACACACACAGACACACACACACAGACACACACAGACACACACAGACACACACAGACACACACACACAGGCATCAGGAGAATTAAAACAAATGTGGCTTTTGATCCTGACATCATGCTTTTAAACTGATGTTTGAATAATGGCAATTCTTATTTTTATTTGAAATATATAGGTATCAACAGTCGGGCTCATCTTCACTAAAATGTGTTCTACTGATCATTAATCAATATCATACTTTCATGTTGGTTATATTTGAGTTGAATCCTCACCAGAGTCTCCCTGCTGTCTGCTGGAGGAGCTGAGACGTCACTCTTAGAAGAAGTGGCAGATTGTCTGACAGGCAGCTCCACCTGACCACCCTTCACCCCTGAGAGCAGGATGACACATGTCTCCACCCAATCATCGCATTCCCTCTGAGAACATAAACAAACATATGCACCACATTATGTTGGTTTGCTGAGCTGAGCATGCTTTGTACTTTAGTATGGCTCCCCCTGGTGGAATGCTCTTGATCAGAGCGTTGTTTACCTGCAGCTTTCTACACGAGTCATTCATCTCATTTTCATCCTCAGCTTGATGTGGAAAAGTCTTCTCCTCCAGAATCAACTTGTAAAAGCTGAAGTGAACGCACAAACATTTTCAGATGAGTAAATTCACTTCTGTTGATCTTCTGCCAGTCAAATATCTCGGTTACATCCTTAAAGTCACTAAACATAACATTTTAGAATTTTTTCTGTGTTTTGTTCGCTCGTATCTTTATTCTGATTCAATGTTTGTGTCAGACAACAAGTAACTAATTGTTAGTTACTCTGGTTAGCAGGATAGCAGTTAACAGCTTCTGGTACCTGGAGATGTATTTGGAAAAATAGTCCAGTTTCTCGGCCAGGAACTTGGCATCCTCATCCAGAGTCTGCGGTGAGATGTTTGTGATGTATTGATGTTCCTGTTCATGGACCTGATCCTGGTCCTCTCTATGGTCAGGTACTATGAGGAGCAACAGATCCAACATCCAGCGGGTCTGAGCCATGTGAAGAGAACTGACCTGGTGAATGAAAAACCTTTTAATCTTAAACTGATGAAAATAAAATGCTCAAATATTTAAAGTATCAGTTTCCACTCCCTCTACAAATGTTGCTCACATGTATGAGTGGCTGAACCCAAAAATCTTAGGATGGGTTTTGTAAATTCAGATGTGATGTTGTGTTGCAACATCATCGCATTTCATGAGGCTGATATGTTTGTTGTGTGTTGTTTGCAAACCTCACTTGATAGTTAGACTGAACCTGGTTTGTACTTACCTCCTCAATGAGTCTCTGGTTCTCACCACTGGTGAAGATGGACAGGCTTTTTATTAACTCCTTCACTTTATCCAACAGTTCTTCTGTCTCTTTACTATTTGAACAAGCAAACACAACAGCACATTTTAGACCGATAACAAAGAAATACCACGGAATATCTCATTTATAAAACTGTAAAACAATGAATTGAATGTGTTTAGAGAGGCTTAGAGACTTGGATTGTCTCGAGAAACTAAAAAACCAAAACTGAATACCAAATGTCTTGAGCAGAGCAATTCAATATCATAGCAGTTATCATTTACTAAATGATAAATGGGACATCTGTCTTCAAATGAAATTGATTAAAGATACCTTTGGGAGATATATTAACGTACTATATATTGAACTCATCTTGGCCCCTTTCTTTTCCGTCTCTCGCCTGCACGCTGGGGATATTCTTTAAGGCTTCCTTGGCCAAACTCTGCAAATTGCACAGAGCCTGCTCGAGCTTCAGCCAATCAGAGACAGACATCATCTCTGGGTGGCAAATGGCTGCCTCAAGCTTGAAAACCCAAGATTCCATAACCCCGAGCAGTGACATGATCTTTCCATGGACCCCTGAAACAGAAACACAGGTCCATATCTCAAGGATTATCCCCCACTATGAGACCCTTTAAAACATTCAGATTGGTGTATGTGTTGCTTCTCACCAGTTTCTCCACTAACTTGTGTGTCCAGCTTTTTAAGGAGCTCAGGTAGAACCCTGACCAGCTCACTTAGGGCCGCCTCACCTACAGGTGGATCACCATCAGGAGAAGAGTGTCTTCTGAGCAGCTGAACGCTCATGTTCAGCCATCTGTCCTGGACACGGCCGAGCTCGCCCAGTGTCTGCTGGCAGCAAAAAAGCTCCTCACCTTGGTATCGCTCACACTGTTGGGCCAAGATCTGAAGAGAAACAGAAGACAAAGGTGGACTTCAGAAGAAACTTTGCTGTTGACTTAAACATAATAGAGGCAGATCCACAAGAGATTTGGAATAAAATCTAAACAAATTTAAATGAGAGAGAAATACTGGTGAATGTTTCAACATCAAGTGTTTAATGCTCTGCTAACAACTCATCCACATAGCACATTCATTCATTTGATGCCTCAGATTTTAAAACAGATGACAGAGATACATAGCAAGTGATTGGTGGTGGACACTTCTGAGACAGATGAGATGGAAAAGACAGAAGACAGAATAGAAAACAGGTGACAGCATCGATTACACAAATCTGATGGGACAAGTGATGATAACTATGAGAGATGAGGCTGATGCTGACAGATGGAAGTGATGATGTGATGTGATTGGATCAAAAATTCATCAAATACATGATGTCAGAGAGATCACTGCAAGAAATCAGCACACACGAACGCACGCGCATGCACTTACACGCACACGCACACGCACACACACACACACACACACACACACACACACACACACACACGTAGATGCTTTGTCTTACATTTGACCACTGCTTCAAATCAACATGAATCTTTTCCAGTGTAACATTCTCATATTTCGGGTCAGGACACCTTGACATAGAGAAAGAACATTATTGTCAGATCTCACACACAATAAGTTGTTCTCAGGGACTTTGCCTAATTATACTGGTCACTGAGTCAAGTGCCAATACAAATTCTACGTCAGGTTGTTACAGCTTTTGAAAATTATATAAAAGTTTTATTTGACTAAAGGCACTTGGATAAAGATAAAAATTAATTTCTTTGGTAACTTGTCCTACTGGTTCTGTGCTGTGCAGAATGTGATCCACTTGTTGACGTCCTGCTCGATGGCATTTATCTCTTCAAACTGAGCGTGCTGACTCTTCTTCATCTGGGACATGAAAGCCATCAGCTGCTCTGTCCAGTTGTCAGAAAGCTCCATGATGATGTTCATGTCTTCTGTGTCCTACAGCAGGAAGGTCACTGTCATAGTCAGGGTGTAACTGAACCACTACGGATACTAATGAAAAGTCAAATTTGGAGTTTGGTGTTTTTAATGGGCCCTACAGAAAATGTAAAGGAGGAATTGCTTTACCTTTGAAGTGATGTAAAGGATGCAGTGCTCTGCGGTTTTAAACCAGCTCTGCTCGTGGACATGCAGCCGACTGACCACCTCCAGCTTCTTCACACTGATCATCTGACAATCACAGAAAAACGTACTCAACATGTTTGGATCTACTTAACGTAATATTGTTTCTACTAAGGGTGTCATGGTGATACAGTTGTATGCACTGTCCCCTCATAGCAGTGTGATACTGTCTATGTGGAGTTTGCATGTTCTCCCTGTGTCTGTGTTTTCTCTGTTTTTCTTCCTCCCATAGTCCGAAGACATGCAGACTGGGGTTTGATGGGTGACTATAAATTATAAGTTTTCCATTATTCCTCCAGATTCAGTAAACCTGTTATTTAGACACCATCTCACGCTGCCAGCACATAAGATAAGGTTATTCCTCCTGTAAGATCATGGCTCACACACCTTGAGGGCGAAGCAGAGGGTGAGCTGACTCCAGGAGTCTCTCTCCTCAGTCATCTGGAGCAGCTGAGCCTCCAGGCGACCTCTCTGCAGCTCATACAGCTCGTGGTAACCCTGGACCACACTGAGAAGAGCACACGAACCATTACAGAGGGAAGGTAGATGAATCTAAAATTTAAAAAAATTAATAATTAAGCAGCTACATAAATTACTGATTAACTTATCTTATGATAAATTTATAATTGGAAAAGATTTATAATGTGCATTATGTTTTAGATGGTTCATTCAATAATTTAACAACTTCATAATAATGTGAATGAACTCAGGTCAGGTTCAGTCCTACAGGGGACATTTTCCAGTTTGGACTCAGCACCGTGGAGGTAAGTGTGGTTATGTGAGTCTAAGGGTCTGACCCTGAGTTGGTGTGCGACTGATCAAGTTCCTCAGCGAGCTGCCTGTGAGTGAACTCCACCTGCTGGGAAACAGAGGCATCACGGTCTCTGATCTTGAACAGTTCCCTGTGAAGAACACATAAACACACACGTTCACTCAGATATGAGCACATTCATTTCCATATTCACACCTTTTAATGAGTGCTATCATTTTTTAATTCTTTGCATTTATTCCTTCCTCATTAGATAGAATCACACCAACATATTTCAGTGTAATTATGTGATCATGACCCTGCTGCCAGATCCCGACCTACGTACATGCTGAGTTGCTGCATGGACGTCTTGATGTGATGGATCTCTTCAGTGAGCCGGCGGTCCAGAGCCCGCTGTGCCACTGCCTCAGTGTGCAGAGCCTTCAGGCAGCGGGGCATTCGCTCCAGCAGGGACTGGTAGCGCTGTCTGGATACACAAATTTAAGAGCTTCCTGGGTCATTGCTTGAAAAGAGTTCCTGAAAATGCCAAATTTGTCCAAAAGGATTTGTTAAAATGTTTCAGAATGAATTTGAGGTAGCAAAAGGATAATACAGTTTATATTTCTTTACATCTATATTTGGTTAAGCTCATTAAACTCTTCCAACAAGTGCTGAGGTTTCACAAGTCAGGTGCTGTCCCAATGTTGCTGGCTGCTCACCTGAGCTTGGCAAGCAGCTGTCCCCTCTCAGCACAGCCCACGCTGACCTGCCTGATCACTTCATGGAAAACAATGTTGTAGATGTTCTGCTCAACCTGCACCAGCTCCAGCAGACCCTCCATCTGTAAGACATTTCATTGCAATGTTTAAAAAATATATGGACTGCTATACTACTACACAAATGGTATATATCTTACTGTGGTTGGAAAGAGTTGTTCATGTTGGATTTCAGTTGGTGCTTCAAGCCCTGCAGAGGCACAGCAGTTTGAGTACATCTGTTCCACTGTCTGCCTACCTGGGAGAGCTGCGTCAGCTGCTCACTCTGCTGATCCACTCCAGCCTTATCCAGCATGTCGTCCATCATCCTCATCAGCTGGACCACTTCTAATCTGCCGCTGGGCCTCCTGGACACACAGAACTAATCACAAATCTGTAATACTTCTCATTTCAGTTTCCCTTAACGACATTCCTCCCTTATCTTACCCGCATAAATACTATTCAACAAAGGTTTATCCATCAATCAGCTAAGTTCAGATTTTAAAACTCACAGTGATGGAAAGACCCGGAGCTTGTGTTCGTCATCCTGCAGCTGAACTGTAAATGCACTGAGCAGGAGATGAAACACGAGAGTTGACAGACAAACCAAATTTGGATTTGACAATGATTTGAGCATGAGCGTACAGAATTAATAAAGTGGGTGAAAACGAAGCAGACTCACTCCTCGTAGAACTCAAGGCCTCGCAGCCCTTTGTTTTTCACAATGTGATATTCCTCTGGTATCAGACTGTCTGATACTCTCAAGTTCTGAAAGACAAAGTTGCTGCAATCATCACCTCATACTGAGACAGTTGAAATCTGTTGTGTCCCTTTATGTCTTCCTACTTTTCCCAATTTGTGTTTTTGGGAGGCTGGACAATAAAGCGTGGCTGTTGTGCTGTGATGATCTTGTTTATTTGTCCTATCTGGTTCATTTGGTTATGTTAAGTTCTGCTTTAGATTTAGATTTACCACATATGTTCCAATGAAAAACAATCCAGTAAGTTAAAATACATTTTACATTCAGCTAACCTGTGTGTCACCAATGCTGTTCCTGTCAGTCAGTGGTGGGAGGGGTGTCGTCTTACTTTGGGTTACCATGGCATCACACAGGAACGAAATATCTCTGTATGGACACCATTCATGATAAACATACACACATTCAGTTTAGGTTAGGGTTCACATTTGTTATTGAATTAGCTGATTAAAAAGAAACCTACAGTAAGTTTGGCTTTACTTGATTTCTAGTTAATAAAATGAAACCTGTTTTATATTGTACATGCAGAAATGTGTAATTTGTGACATTGTTCACGTTGCTGCATGAGTCTTGTTGGTCCAGCAGACCTGCCTGCTCCGGTCAGGGACGTCGGCTGCTCCAGAAAGTGTCTGTATTTCTTGCGTCCAAGCGGGTGATGCCAGACTGCATCTGGCCGTCTGATTCCACAGCCCTTTGAAACACAGAGTCATCTTTAGGAACGCTGGTGTGAGATGATTTCACCCAAACTCTTTCACGTATGCTTGAATGTACCTTGCAGTGGCGATGGTGTGCAGTGTGCCCCGGTGTGCTCCTGGTGCAGACAGTGGAGGTGAGGCTGACCAGCAGTTCATCTGGGACCAGCTGGTTGTTGAATGAAGGAAGCTGTGTGTTCCTGCTCTCTGCCGCAGCCCGAAAATTCACTTCTGCTGCTGAGAAAAATAAAATGAAAAGACTGTGACCTGTAGGAGGGGACCTCCCACTGTTTGATATTTCCATATAATAACAGCTCCACATATTTCTTGCATTAAGGAACAAGGAGATTTCACACTTTAACCTGTATTGAAGATTTTGTATGTTTTGTATTTAAGTGTTTCCTTATACTTAGTTTTGGTGTTCATATTAGAACTTACTGGTTCCTACCACACCTCGCATCTCATTTATGTATTTTGTATTTATGGAGCGTGAAATAAACTAAACTAAACCCTTCCCTTACTTGTTTGGTTTGTCAGATAATTAACTAATAGTGTAACCAAAAGAAAATACCACATTAGTTTACAATTCTTTTTTAACTGCTCTTGTCCTTTCATCTTCTATTTCATCACATTATTTCATTCTTCACCTACGTTGTTTAACACAGAAAATCGAGATGACTACTAATGTATTTACCATTAGATAGATCGATAGATAGATCGACAGATAGATATACAGACAGATAGATTGATAGACAGACAGACAGATAGACAGATAGATAGACAGACAGACAGACAGATAGACAGACAGACAAGACAGACAGACAGACAGATAGACAGATAGATAGACAGACAGACAGACAGACAGATAGATAGACAGACAAGACAGACAGACAGACAGACAGATAGATAGATAGATAGACAGACAGACAGATAGACAGACAGACAGACAGACAGACAGACAGACAGATAGATAGATAGATAGATAGATAGATAGATAGATAGATAGATAGATAGATAGATAGATAGATAAATAAATAGATAGATAGACAGACAGATCTTCTGTTAGTGTATCATCCACCTGTTAGCTGTCATGCTAACCTCCCCTCACCTCTGGTGTCCAGTATCGGCTCCGGCCTCGATGAGCTCGGGGCAGAAGTGGCTCTGATGGACGCAGACATCGTGCTCTGACGGTGGAGAACAACTAAAGGTTTCCACGACACAATTATCAAACTCTGATCAGGTCATTCGTGGGATTCGCGGATTTTATTTTGCAAAACTTTCCCTCAAAGTCCAGACGTCGCCTCTGCTCCCCCGCGGCTTCCACTTCCTGGTCCAGTTGCTATGGAAACTAGTCTGTGTGTTGACAAGCTGTTTAGTTGTTAAAAAGATTTAAAATACATTTAAATATTTACAATATTACCCGTAATAATAATTATAATACTACACCATATTTTACTTTAAATTATCTTTTATTTTATTTGATATTTATTATTTATATATATTTGCTTATATTCTATATATATTCTGCTTCTTATTTGTCTCACTATTTACCTTGACTCTGGATATTGTCTTTTATCTTTTATCATCTATTATTATTTAATAAAAACACACCGCATAAAAAAGCAGAAACTGTTTTTTGCATGTTGAAATGCAGCTGGATTTACATGTAGACAAACATTTGAGCATCTAATGAGGCCTTGAAGTCGAGATTTGCTGATATCAAGCATTTAATCATAAGTTAAATGAATGATTAGATAAACACTTTTATTTTATATACAGGCCTGTTATGTTATGTTTTTGAAATCCCACAAACTTTTTTAAAAATCTTTTTGCTGGAATGTAGGCACCTGTTGTAGCCTATGTTTCAACCTATAGGAACCATGCACATTTAATTCTTATTTTTATACTAATTTATAACTCTATTTGCTCATAGTTATAATTAAAACCTTGCTTTACATCAGTGAGCCTCCCCTCCCTCACCCAGCAGAGAGGCTGTTATAACCCCCTCCCATAATAACCCCTCCCTGCCCTGTGTGCTCGGCCTGTTGAACGCCACACCGCCTCTCTCTGTCTCATGTGTGATGGAGGCTCTTGATGCCGCTCCAGCAGGAGGAGAAGTGTGCATCAAGTGGATCTGGAGTTGACAACAGATGAATCACCGCAGCCAGAAGCAGAAGCAGAGACATCCGTGCAGGACAAGACTTCAACCCAACGAGCAGGATGAGTTCCTGGCATGACTATGGATTTAAATCACTTCCTTAATGTTGATTTTCTCACCTGCACAATTCTCATCGCATCACTGGTTGTGATCGATGGTAAGTAAACGCTCTGGGTTTCATTCCTCAGTTATTGTTTTATACCATGTTGTTGGTCATTAATCTTGTAAACAACTCAGAACCATGTGCTGTGATTGTATTATACTTGTCATTTTACATTTGTTCAAACAAGAGTGAGTTGGTGTTACATCCCATCATGCAGGATTCAATATCTTACAATACTCATTATAAACATGTTTATTTCACTCATAGTTTCCATGCAAACACTTTCTTAAACATGGAGAATAATCAGGGTAGTGTACGATATGCTTCCAGCCTCTCTGTGTTGAGTTTGAGAGTAGAGATCGTTCTGCATTTGAACCAGTCCATGCTTCGAATTTCAATTACAAGACGGTGAGCTGACATCATCACTTATTGTGATCTACACATTTCCAAAAGACTGGAAGGCTAAAGATTAGTAGAAGAGCTCTAACAACAGGGGGGTGCAGTGTGGTGAGTGGGAGTGGGAAAAAATTGGCGGGGGGTTGGGTTGTGATCATGGGTCAAAAAGGGGGGGTTTGCTTTATGTGTCTTCTTATCACCACTGAAACAAACAGACAGATCCACGGGGCCACATGCATCAGTCCAGAGGAGATGTCAGGTGCTGCACATGTGCCATCTGAAGGGCCTCCAGATAGGAAAACACACAAAGACCCTCAGCAGTGATTTGCATTAGAAAAAAGCCATACACGCTGTGGGAGGGGATGTGTGGTTGCATGGAGCCGTGTCTCAATTTGGCAGCAGGCCTGCATGGCTCTGAATCCTCTGAACTCTGCCTCAGGGGAACACTGAAAGAAACCAGTTGACTAGAAAAATCTTGGTTACAAGGGACACCACCTGTCATGACTTCATGAAATAAGTAGGACCAATCGGTTTTTTGGTTTATTTTTAGAATTATACAGATTTCCATGAAACTTGGTGGAAGGGCATGGTATATGTTGATGCAGATCTGGATCAAGAATTTGTTTTCAGTATCAGCATTGTGAGAGTTATTTTCCCTGATGTTGCAGACAATAATGAATGGATCTTGAGGAAGTTAATGTGCGTCTGCAATTTGATGCAGATCCAAATAAAATTCAAAAATGTAGTTTCATAAAGCTGCGATTTATGGATCTGGAAAAGAAATCTGGCATGTTTAGTGGACTGTTGGTTCTTGGCGGAGATTTGCACTCTACTTATTTCTTTGAAGAATGAATGTATCAGAGTCTGGAAGATGACAACAGGCAGTAGCTCAGTCCACAGCGACTTGGCTTGGGAAACGGAGGGTGGCCGGTTCAAGTCCAGCATGGACGGAAGTTGGAGAGGTGCCAGTTCACCTCCTGGGCACTGCCGAGGTGCCCTTGAACAAGGCACCGAACCCCCCAATTGCTCCCCTTCATGGCTGCCCACTGTTCCGTGTGTGGTCACTGTGTGGATTGTGTTCCGTGTGATGGGTTAAATACAGAGGTCAAATTTCCCCATGGTTGCATGCTGTGTGTGGGACCAGAAAGAGGAATCTTAATCTTAATAAGCTGCTGCAACATTTACATCTAATCTGTTCTGACTTTATTTGGCTGATCCTTGATATGGACATATGGTCGGAGCATCGCCACTGATGCCCATGATATCCATCACACCCCTGGGGCACTCGGTTGATACCTGAATCACGCTGAGTCCCGGTCTAGACGAGCATAAGCTGCTTCATGCAGGAGAACGCTGCCTGCTGTCTGAGAAACTGATTGACCTCCACCACTGACGGAGGATGGAGCCTGAGTCGCTGAAGATGATGGACTGAGTGTGATTGTGCTCTTCTCTGTCTTTACAATCTGCACTCGTCCTGATTGGACTCTTGAGGGGTGATTACCGTGGGTGATTACTGGAATATTTTAGTGTGGCTACTTTTGTGGTATAATGAAGTCAAAACCCATCAAGAAAAACACACTTACACACGTACTTTCTCTATGTCCTTCCAATTTCCCTACACTGCTTTCAAGGTTTCAAAAGTGGAACAGAGATTATCATATAATGGAAGAAACACTTGTGCAGATGATTCTTTTCGGAGGCGTCGTGCCTACATGGCCCCTCATGCACATTCCAGGGATTACGTGGATCGTTGTCTCTGAGCTGGTCCCTGTTGTTCTGCCTGGAGAACGTTCATTTTGAAAAGTCTTGATGTGTTATTTGTCTCTGATGTTTTCTTCCAAATGTAGCAGCTGCAGGGGGCGAGACTCAAGGTGGAAGTGATGTATGATTTTAGAGGGAATAACGAAGTGAAGACAAAAAGGAAACAATCTTAGGTTGAGGTTCTTCAAGAAGTTTGAAAGTGAAACTGTTTAACCTTTTAAATTTTGTATAAATAACTTTTGGCAAAATTTTTGGTAAAATCATAACATGCAACCACACACTGCTCACATGTTTTTACCTAACAAGCCTGATTTGAAACACAAAAGGTGAAGGAGTAAGAGTCTGAAAGTATCTCTGTGCTCCATCTCTCTTAAGCAATTTATCTATTTCTATGGAAATAGATCGAATGATGAGGCCAAACAGTGGAATTAGTTACCATAGCAACCAGGCACGATGCCTTGAGAGGCCATTAAATGTAAGCCTTTGTCCTGATGACGTCTCGACTCAAGTGTTTTTTTTTTCATTGCTAACTAGAGATAAAGGAGCTTCATGATCAAAGCCTGTGTGCTCCATTGGTTAATAAAAATGCAAACATTACGTTTTACAGGAGTAAATTGAGTCGTTGAAGATGCTGTTTATTTTATTAGCTGTATTGTAAATACAACCAGAAACATGTTGTTATGAGTCACCAATGCTCCAAGACCAAAGAAGCATCATATTACAAAATATTTTCTTCAGGAAGATTGGAAATACTTGATATTAATGACTAAATGTGATCTCTTCATAGGTGCGTCTCCTGACAGGTCGCCTCAACCTGTGGACCGGTGCTCTCCAAACCCATGCCAAAACAGGGCCTTATGCAGGAACCACAGGGATGGATACTCATGCTTCTGTGTGCCGGGGTTCCAGGGGTCTCACTGTCACATTGATGTGAACGAGTGCGTGTCGCAGCCCTGCAGGAACGGAGCCACCTGTGTGGACAGAGTGGGCAGGTTCTCCTGTCTGTGCTCTCCTGGGTTCACTGGTGAGTGGAAAGTGACATGTCCCTCATTTTCAGCCTCTAAAAAGAAGAAAGCTTTGTTGTTTATTTTTGGGATTATTTACAAATTTATTTCAAAAATTTAGTTGGCTACTTATATATTTTTAAGCTCAGTTGAGGATGGATTTAAAAATTGTTGTGTTATTTCTTTGTTAGTTTGCAGACTTCACTTTTGTGAAGGGGTGGGGCAGGACCTACTGAAGAGCACATATGTGTTTTCACTGATTACTTACAAAATAATGAATGAAAAGAAAGGAAAAAAGTCTTTGAAAACAACAACTGACCTCCTCCCAATGCTTTTTAAGAAAATACTAATGCAGTGGATAGTGATGAGAGCAACATGAAGAACATCTTTAAACAGCATTATGTCTATTATCATTCACACACCGCAATTTAGTGCTCAGTATTTTATCCATGGACACTTAAGCCTTGCCCAACTATACATGAGGATAAAACATGTTTTAGAATAGCAGTGAAGGGAAAGATGCTTTGTCCTGTACTGCTTCTTTCATGTTGCCTCAGAGTGGCAAACATCTTTGCTGTGGGATGAAAAGACACAGTCAGGACATGATCACAGACAGTCCACACAAAAAGCTTTATTGCCCAGCAGTCTGTGTATCGCATGCAACTGCCCTCTGGCATCTGTCTTGCTTTGATATCCACAGGGGCCACTTGTGAGGTCCAGATTGATGAGTGTCAATCACAGCCATGTCTCAGTGGGGGCAGTTGCCATGGCTACGTCGGTGGCTTCACTTGCACCTGCCCGTCCGGTTTCCAAGGACACCGCTGCGATATCGACACTGATGAGTGCCAAGAGCATCAGTGCCAGAATGGGGCTCTGTGTATAGACGGGGTGAATGGGTGAGTAGCCCAGAGGAGACGTCCTGCCAACTTTAGACAAACTATTATGCTTTATACAAATTCATACATTTACATTAATATTCCATCATGAACGCACACTGAGGAAATTCTGTAAAAAATTATCATCTTCTTGTGTCAGATACAGATGTGACTGCTCTCACACAGACTTCACAGGCCCTCACTGTGAGACACCACTAACACCCTGCCACTCTCAACCCTGCTTCAACAGCGCCACCTGTAGGGGCGAGCAGGGTAACTACACCTGTGAATGCTGGCCAGGTAAATAAAACACAGACACAGTTAATTGAAAGAGGACAAAGATGAAGAGATTTGAGTGAGAGATGAGAAATTCATTTTAAAATATAGAATAAGACAAAGAGCAAACACAGAGGTGTGTTTAAGCAGTGGTCTAGTCCAGCCATTGTCTGCATGAAGCAACATAAAGATTCTTATACACACTGCAGCAGCATGTTGATATTACTGTGTGTGTTTGTAGAATCTATATCTATATACAGGGGCTGTAGATCTCATACATTCTCATCTGCTTCCTCATTTCAGGGTTTGAGGGGCGTCAGTGTGAGGTAGACATCAGTGAGTGTAGCAGCAGCCCCTGCATGCACGGAGGTCACTGCATTGAGAGGTCATGGCAGGCTCTGTATGGCAGCGAGCCTCTGCTGCCTGAGCGCTATGACCAGCAGCACGCTGCAGGCTACATCTGCAGCTGTCCTCCAGGAACAACAGGTAGTTTTATTCATGGTACTCAACTGAATGAATTATACACACACCTCATATGAGGAATACAGGAGGTAGTTTCAGGTACATCCCACAGAATGTTGGGACTTCTGTTGTTTTCAATGACATTCATTTATAATAAAAATCAGCAACGGCATTTGGTAAGTTCTAAAAATGTGCTACTTATAAAACATATTTCTTTCTATTACAATATATATATATATATATATATATATATATATATATTATCATATCAAATATAAATATAATATATATTATATATATCAAATATCCTACAATGACACCACTACATTTTGCCCTTTTATTGTTGTGTAACGAGAAATGTGTGAGTTCAAATCAGCTACTGTTTACTGAGGAAATATGGAAATATGGAATTAACAATATTCCGTATAATAACATGGACATGACTGTAACTTCCCCTCCCAACAATGTCTCATTTCATTATTTGAGGTTACATCAAATTATACATTTTAGTTGCCAGGGCAGAATATTCGATCCAGAGTCATTATATGAGTCCAGGACTTTGCTTCAGGTAAGACTCTGAGCTGCTGCTGAGGGTTGTGTTCTAAAAATTGAAACCCAGTCAGTGCACTGACTCAGTGAGGTAGCCAAATAGCATTAGTTTAATCCCCAGGATCTGGCTTTGCTGGTCTCCTGACTGGAGCTATTCAGCTCTATGTGGTTGTAGAGAAGGAGACGAGGAGCAGACCTGTACACAAACTAACTAATATGATGCAGTCAGACAAGTTCGGGGTTATTCTGGGGGGAAAAGTGACGGCATGATGTGGAGACCTGCAACATGGATCTGGGGAATTTTGTTGCTTGGAACAGGTAAAATCTTAATGGGTTTTTGTTTATTTACTAATGGTATTGCATAATAAGAATTTAATGATTCTATTATTTGTAACCTTTTATACAACCTCGAAATAACCAAGTTTTCTTTGATGTACAACAGGACATAGATTCTGTATATAAAGTGCATTTGTTTAAAATCTAGAAGCATCTATAGCAATGATGCATGCAAAGATTTCTTAAGAGAAACACAGACAAACAATTTTAAGAGGATTTTACAAGTAAAACCCCTTTTATGCAACTGGTCTTGTAATAGTTTAGCTGGGCACAACATAGTTGAATGACAAACAAAAAGAACAATAAAAACTATTACCTGGCACAACTGGTAAACTCATGTGGGAAATATTTATGCTTGCAAAACAATTGAATAAAGAACAAGACATTAAATACCTTTACAGCAGAATAATTCACAACAGACTAATCATTGAATTAGTGTCTTCACTAAAAAACCACAAGCTACAGGTGATTTTGTTGTTTTTTCTTGCTCTGACAGGTTCCCTCTGTCAGGAGGTGATAAACCAGTGTGATCCCAGTCCCTGTCAGAATGGGGGCAGGTGTGAGAGCCACGTCGAAGGCTACAGTTGCCACTGCCTCAAACAGAGTGACGATGGAGTTCTCTATGGAGGCGTGAACTGTGATGTGAGGTTGATGGGCTGTGAGGGACACGAATGCCAGAATCAAGGCTCCTGCTCTCCTTTCCTCATAGACGGGACTCAAGGCTACGACTGCTCCTGCTCCGCTGGGTTCACCGGACCCCTCTGCAATACCCCCACCACATTCTCCTTCGAACGCAGGGGCTACCTGCTGCTCCAGAGTCCTCTGGTGGATGCAGAGTTCTCTTGCAAAATCACCCTGAGCTTCAAGACTGTTCTGCCCACGGCTTTGTTGTTCCAGCGGAGCAACAGGGGCCTGCTGCTGAGCCTGGAGCTGAAGAGAGGGCAGCTTTATCTCACCCTGAGGAGGGAGGCCTCGGCTGGGGCTGAGACAGAGCGCACAGCCCAGGTTCTGGAGCTTCCATTCAATGTCACAGATGGAGAGTGGCACTCTGTAGAGGCCGTGCTGGAAAACTGGGTGCTCAGCCTGAAACTTTTGCATGATGCTGGGAGCTGTGGGAGCCAGTCATGTCACAAGGTGGCCTCAGTCAGTCCAAGCACTCTGGCTGGACTGGAGTGGAACACATTTATTGGAGGAGTGCCTCATGACCAACATGACCCAAGTGAGGACGCTCCACTTCCAGCATTTATTGGCTGCATGCGGGACGTGTTTGTTGACTGGCAGCTCGTGGTGCCTAAAGAATGGTTGAGCGACTCGGCTGTTAACGTGTCCCCCGGCTGCAGCCACAGGGACCGCTGCCTGGATGTGCCTTGTCAAAACAGAGGACAGTGTGTCAACCTGTGGCAGAGCTACCAGTGCTGGTGTCCAAGGCCTTACGAGGGGCAGGACTGTGAGGAGGGTACGTCTGCATCTGTAGATCTATAAACAAAGACATTTGTGGCGTTACCCACCACGCTCACATTCAAGCTTTGAGATAAGCAATTTCATTGAGGTCAGAGGAAAATACTACAGAGTCACTCCCACAAAATATCTTAGGCGGGTAATTAAATAACATCCTTGGTTGCTGATGTGTAAAGAGACAAGAGCAGAGATGAGGCCAATTAAAAGCCACAGTGAAGGAAAGAGGCACAGATCCTCTTATCTGACGCACAGGATTAAGGATATAAGGGATTCTATTTTTGAAGAACACAGACGCACATTAAAGGAAAAGTACCCACCTTCACTGACCCGTGCAGAACTGACCGTCAGAGAGTCAGCGACGAATTTAAGGAAAGAGGAAAAAAAGATTTTCACACAAAAATAATCCCTGAAAATATCAATTGGTTCTAAATTCTCCACTGATGATATCTATAGTCTCTTGAGTGTGTCCAAGCAGATTATACTGACCGCAGTGTCTGATGGGATATTTGCACACACATTTACCCAAACGCACAGAAATACATACACACGCCCAAATCGCAGACATTCACAGTGTCCACGTTACGCAGTGTGTTATGTCTTCTGTGTGACCTCTCTGTGTGTGTCCTCTGTGTCTTTATCAGCTGACCACAGCACAGGAGAAAGTGCTGACAGAGGACACAGTGTATGAGGGCTGGTGGCTGCTTGCGTTTCCTCCGTCTTTTTCTGTTCTTGTTGCCTCAACTCAAACTGCTCACATGAGTGTTCCAGTCAGTTAAAACTCTGCACCCAGATCTATCACAAGACAAGATGAGATAATCCTTTATTAGTTCATTTGCAATATTACAGTAGCAAGAGTCAAACATAGGCATGATTTTAATATTTTTTAATATAATTTAAAAAAAAGGATTTAATAGTAAGTTTATTTTCTTATATGAGAAAAATGTCATGTGTCTGTGTGCTGAAGATTAAAACTAAGTAAATGATATTAAAAGACAGTTCTGTTGAATCCTCTGCATCTGCAACAGGTTCGGTTCTGACATGCGGCCATTTGCTGTGTGTATTTCTCCCCCTTACACATTAAAGTCTGTCCTATCAATAAATTCAACAACAACACGATCCACAAACAAGGTCAAAGATTGGGTAACGCGGTCTGAGAGGTCACTAAGTCTGCTTTAAGGGGTTTTATGTAACTTTGAAATTATGTCATGGAGAAAATTCCACAGGGACATGAAAGGAAAATATATTTCTAAAAATATGGAGCAAAAGTGAACTCACTGTTTGACTCCCTGGTTGCATGAACTCCAGCTGTCTTTTGCCGCTTGTTCAATTGTTTTTTTCCTTTTACCTTAGTAAAGACAGGAAGCGAAACTAAATTACATCCTTGAACTTCTAAAACTACATTTGTCTTCAGTGAATATGTTTTTCTGAATCAGCCAACTCACTTTTCTCTTTGTCTTAAACTTGACAACAACATTGTCTCATCTTGATCAACTTTTCCCTCCTTTTGTAGAGCATGTGCCTGCACGCTTTGGGAATGAGGACTCTCACAGTTACGCCACGTTCAATGTCACAGACGACCTGGGTCACGACCTGTCCATCTCACTCTTCCTCCGTACGCGAAGGCCCAACGGACTCCTCCTGGTGCTCGCCAACGACAGCAGCCAGTACCTGCAGATGTGGCTGGAGGACGGCAAGGTCACGGTTCAGGTCAATGACTTTGAGAGTCTGAGGGCAGAGAGCATGGTGGACGACGGGGAGGTCCACTTTGTGAGTGTGGAGGTGGTGGAGGGTCGTTTGACTCTGTACGTAGCAGATCAGAAACAGGGGGAGATGGAGATCAGGACGGTTGGTGTCCAGGCAGGAGACACTGTGCACGTGGGAGGTCTGCTGGAGAAGAAGACAACCTCAGTGTTCGGTGGATATTTTAAAGGATGTATCCAGGATCTGAGGATCAATGACAGCAGGCTACAGTTCTTTGGGTTGGACACGTCAGTGAGATCGTATCCTCTGGAGCTCATGGAGAACGTGACCAGCGGGTGCTCGGGGGACAACGCCTGCAGTGTGAGTAAAGACACTTGTTTCTCCTTTTACTTATCTTTATCAAACTTTTATTTTCAGCCTCACCATTGTCACTGTAAAAAAAACATACAAAGTCAAAAAACAAAAAACATTAGTTATTCTGCTG